GTTGTTCTACGCATCGCTGCAAGCCCACTGAAAGAAAACYGGACAATTGTGTGTACGTTTAACTTAATACGTCTTCATAACCAGATAGGAAATACACCAATATTTGAATGTTTGAACGTAAAGGCGCTCTTTAATACACAGGCAATCATCCAGTTCAATCGATGGTCATATTTACCTCACGGGTTATTGCTAAACCGTTAGCTAAAAGCTACAGCTAGCGAACGTCGTCGTAGGGCGAATGAAGCAAAAACAAACAAACCTGAGATCATTTCCTCTCCAACTCTCCAGTTCTTCTTGGAAATGTTGGGACCGAATCACAGGATTTATTGCTTCCGCCGTGCTTTCAGCAAAGGATTCAGGAAACAATGATACTATTGTAACCTTCCTCAGGACCTGACTCCACCTATTTTCATTGCGTCATCAAAAATGGCCAGCTTACGGCTGAAATCAGGTCCTCATACCATTTTCCTGTTCTAGTGTTGAAACAAAGMTTCAATTAAGTGTTGAAAGTGTGTTCAGGCATGCATCTTACCTACATGCACCTCCTGTTCTGTGTAGCCATCTTTGATWGCCACTCAGACCAGTCTGTACATAAAACGGTTCATGCAGGGTCTTAAAAGGTCTAAAAAAGTCTAAAGTTTGAAAAACTAAAATTTAGGCCTAAAAAAGTCTTAAACGCCCAGATTTTCATCCAAAGTCTTAAATTTAATTTTGTCAAGTCTTAATTCTTTTAACTTTCAGTCATTCCCGAGAAGCGTTGACTGCATAKATAAATAAAGTATCGTAATCAGAGGTTCATGTGATCTGTCTTCATGAAGTTCTAAGTTTGCTACCGGTCTTTGTGCGTGGTTAAACTACAAATCCTGTGATAACTGCAGGCAAAAAATGGCACAGTTTACTTCCATGTTTCTGACCTGTTTGCCACTACACCCCCCCTGCCCCCCGCCCGCATGCGGCAGCTTGTTCACCCGCCAAAAAAACAAAGAAGTTCAGTCATGTCCGCTGCTTGTCGTTTAAACATGGGAAAGTGTGTTTTCTATGACACTTGGCTTCATATCAGTGATTTTTGCACTCGGTTGGAAGCAGTCCACAGCGATCAGATATGACCGTTTCATTAAAATAAATAAATAAAATAATTTTAATTGGTATCAATAAAATGTTTCTATGTTAAAATTTCCAGGACCATTTGACTGTTACCGMTAATGTGTCGGTTTGGTCTTAAGTGTCATTCCTAATGGTCTTAAAAGGTCTTAAATTTAACTTACAGAAACCTGCATGAACCCTGATTAAAATCATCCATATATTCACAAAAATAATCGCAGAATAAAGAGATCATTATTCACCTGAGAAAAGACTACAGAATGTGTGGTGCTTTTAAAAATCAGTAGTAAACAAACCCCAATAAATTGCTTCACTACAACAGCTAAAATATGCTGAAATTYGCAAAAGGTTAATGAAGAACAAAAGTAGCCAATAGCTAAAAAACATAACTGGAGCAAATCTGAAAAGGGGCTTAAATTAGCTGAAAGTCAGCTCCTGAATCAGCTGKACATTTTAGCTAATAAATAAGCTAAAGTAGCACAAAGTGCGTAGACGTAATTCCAAAAGCGTAAATAAAAAAGCCAGCGCAGCAGTAATCCAGTGTAACTCGTTAATGTCTTAAATTAGGAGCTGACAGTTTTTACTGATGGTGATCTTCTCCTTCACGGTTTCCTTCCATCCAAACACAAACGAGGTGCTTTTGGGAGAGTAAACCAGGACTCGTGGGGCTCGAAGGGCAGAAGTGGACCCTGGGGGGACGGAGGGGTTTTAGACTAAAGGAAAGAATTGATTTTCCAGTGGAAGAGGCCGTCCAATGATGGGCCGAGTCCTGCCCCAGGGCTCCGACCAGCTGGAACCAGAGAGGCCAGACAGTGACCTTAAAGCCTCAACAGGTCACGTTGGGTTGTGTTTTTTTTTTTCTTCTGGTTAAAGTGTTGATGTGTGTTTCATTGAACAGGCGGCATGAAGGCTGTGTGAGGACATGTTGTGTGTTTCTGCCCTTCAGGAGGAGAGCAGCTCAGCCTCTGGCTTTTCTTAGAGTCGTACCYGGACGAGAGACACCTCACACCCGTGCAAAAAAAAAGAAAAAAAAAAAACACAAAACCAAACCAAATACAGAGCCATTGGCCGGCAGCCATGACAGATGGGGGAGTTGAGTTCACGGGAGGTGTTGCCATGGAAACCGGCACCAGCGCTACCCGTGAGCCGAGCCGCAGAGCTGCGCGCGGCGTGGGCAGCCCTCCTCCCCGTTGTTTACCACTCGGAGTTCGTTGKGCAACAAAGCCCCGTGTCAGCAGGTTCAGAACCGGTCCGGGAGCGGAGAGGACGAGGAGCGGCACGAGTAAAACAGTGTCACCTGGACACAGGGTTCCCAGGGGTCCTTGAAATCATTGAAAGTTTGTGAATTTGAAAAAAATGAATTCAAGGACCTGGAAAGTTTGTGAAAACAGCCAAAAATTACACTTGTCCTTGAAAGTCCTTGAATGTTTTTTGGGGATTGAAGTTCTCTATTCACACGACTGATTTTTATCATTTGTAAAATAAAATAAAAACCTTACATTTGTTACAGTGGATAACTCAGGATTACTGTAAACTGACGTGACTTTCAACAAATAACTTGAGCCAGAGTCATAGTTTTACCCAATCAGAGCAGAGTAGGGCGGGTCTTTCTTTCAGAGCCCAGGTGAGAGCACCACAGCTCCTCCTGTCCTCACCGAGTGTCTGGACKTGTTCACATCCCCTCCTCCCAATCTGAGCTGCTGAACCTCCCAGGACATAATTATATGTCCATGTATTGTGGATATGAATGTAGTGTTTACATTTAATCCACTTTATTTCATTGATTCTGGCTCAACAACTTCTATGTTGTTCATTTTTCATTAAATTTACATAGTAAACCTGTTTATTGGTAACATTCTGCAGTAGCAGTAGGTAATTGCTGTTGCGCATTCTTGGATTTGAGGAAACTGGTACTGGAAAGTCCTTGAAAGGMCCTTGAATTTGATGTTGACCAAGGTGTGGGAACCCTGTGGACAGGTGTGTCAGGAGGAGGAGCTCCAGAGACAGACGAGCTTTGAGCCTTCTGGTCTGAGCTGCTGTAACCTTTCCTCCACGTTCCCCACCCCACCCTCTGCTGGGTCTCACACACTGTATCCCCCCTCATCGATCCTGTTTAACAGCAAACCAGACAAAGCTTCCCTCCTCCCACAGAGGAGCTAACTGGATCTGAGCCTGGACCAGTTCTTCACAGAAATCATCAGAATGTGAAAAAACAGCTCCATAATCCTGCAGATTTATCTTCATCTCTCCTAAACATCATGTATCAGCTGTGTATCCACACACACCTCCTAAAAGTTTTATTTATTTATTTTTTCATATTTTCCATCATAATCAAAGCTGATGATTGTGGATGATTGTGTTTCTGCGTGGCTGAGTCTCGCTGCGCTGCTGTAAGATGTGTCAGCGTGTTTCAGTGACTCAGTTTGTGTGCGTGATCATGATTTATGGCTCTAACGGTTGTGTGGAGGTCTGTAATTGGGAGCAGRGTGTCATGAATGTAATGATCAGATTATGATGCCGTCTGTGAGAGAGAGACAGAAACGATCATTTATGGCCTCAAAGCATCTGGTTCCTGATCGATCTGCAGGTTCAAGACTCGTTTGTTTTRGTTYCCTCCGCCAAGGGCGAGGTAATGTTTTCGGTCGTGTATGTCTGTCGTTCTGTCTGTGGACAACTTTACTCAAAAACTTGCGGACAGATTGTCATGACATTTTTACCACATGTGGTCAAGGAACAAATCTTTAAATTTTGATGATGTTCTGGATCACGATGCGGATACAGGATTTTTTTTCTTTTAACACTCTGAGATCGGCAAAGCTGTGATGCTTTCACAGGGCTTCCGTAAAAAACAGTGAGCTGGATTGGACAGCACGGACTTCAAACTTTATTAATTTGATTTGATTTATTGATTCAACAGGAAAAGATTACTAAAAATCAAGCCTGACTCAGCATAATTGCTGTTTTACAGCAGGTTCCTGTTCTGCAGCACATAAAACACTCAGAAATGCAGCATCACAATCACATCGTTATACACCATAGACACAAAGACAAACAAGCACACCAAATTTCAGGAAGGCAGCATTTGCAAAATAAGACGTCTAAATATGAGCACAACAAAAAGTGTCCAGCAGATGGCAGACAAGATTCTTCTTAAAGGGCTGTAGTTTTGAAATGGACTTTATGTTTTGAGGAATGTCATTCCATGCTTTAGTATAAACATAGAAGAATGACCTCTGGCCATAAAATTTGGCAATATCAGTTGTCCTTTTGTAACAGATCTAGTTGATAGTTTATAAAAGTAAAGTTAAAACCAGATTTAATGATGAATAATTTTTGCCATAATATGCACATTTAGAGAACGTTTTGTGACCAGGAAGTGCATGACTGCACCATGAAACCTATTTTTCCCATTTCCTCAAACACACCACATTTCCGAAACAACCAATCAAAACAGTTTGTCTCTACTAGGCTTGTAAACAGAGAGCTGCCGGGCCTCAAAGTTTGGAGATGGGGGGAGCCAGGAAGCACTTTATAAAGAGAGTCAAACCATTACAAACTCATACAAGGGGATAAAACAGACGTTTTACATGGTGAAATGTGACTGATGAAAACTTAGGAGCTTAATCCGACACCAGTTTGACGATGAAGAACGCCGGGTGACGAGTCTGACTTTTATTTCACATTGGACTCCGCCGAGAAGAAATCCCTGCATACTGCCTGCTTAAATGTTCACTACGTCACAACTTATTCAGCAAATGTGTTTCCATCTCTGCTTTTGTGCATTAACTCTTACAGGATGGGGGAAATTGGTCTTGGTGGAGGTTTGCTCCTAGTTTTTATTATTTTTCTGTTTTCTTCCTCTCATGTTTGATTATTATTGTTATTTTTTGTGTCCGCAGCGAGAAGAGGAAGCTGCAGGTGAACGTGGCGAGTCCCATCCAGTGCAGCTTGAACGGCAGGAAGTGCACCGTCGTCGTCGAGTCCAAGATCAACCAATCACAGCCCGACTTCACCAAGAGCCGGGCCGGTTACATCCTGAGCGTTCCTGGAAACTAACGTGGGCCAAAAAAAAAAAAAAKCCAACAGTTTCAGACCAGGCTGGGATCACGTCTGGAGTTTCTGTTCAGCTCTGCAGAGATGCTGTGTTCCTGTCGGATCGGAGGGATTAAATCCCCGTTTTCCAAATTGATGCCAAACTCCACCTCCTCTGCAGAGGACGTTAGTTTCAAAGACGAGGTTATRAGTCGTGCCCCGAACATCCACAAGCGTGGAGGTTTTTCTCTTTTTGTTTTTGTTTTTTTACTCAGATTTCTGTTGATTCGCTTTGTGCAATATTTAAATCAGTGCAGATTGTTTGTTGTGAGTCAAGGTGAGAGCGGATTATTCCAGCTCTGTTCTCAGAACCAATAATGTTGCCTCATCGGAGAGAAAGCCAGAGGGTTCAGCCGGGATTATAATCCCTGAAGCCCCCCGTGTGTCGGATCAAAGAGGAAACCTTTTATGCACCGTTTTGTTTTGTCATGTCTGCTTTAAAGCAATATTTTTTTTTATTTTAAATAATTTCAGTGCTAATGATGTTAATGAAGCAGGACCTGGAATGTCCACGTTTAGTTTATGAAATGTTTACAGATGGAGCGGGGCCAACGTCTGAGACGCTTAGTTTGGTTCAGAATYTGTTGATCAGATTCTGAACAAACCCAGTTGAACATGTTCAAATCGAATAATTTAAATCCTGTATTTTTGTGCTGTTTATGACTTTATTCTGCTTATAGAGAAAGAGAAGTGCTGTGTCAGCGCAGTGCCGCGTTATAAAATTGAATAACAAGCAGCAAAATCAAGATAAGAATCCAGAGTTAAAGTTTCTGCTCGGCATCGAGTCCAGTTCTGTTTAATCAAAACCCAGCTTCACTTTCTGTTATTGTGTTTAGGGAAGAGCTTTTTTAAGAAAACCAATAAATATTCCTGTGATCGTCACAGAGAGCCACACGCCTGCAGGTTAGTAGGTTCAAAACCCAACATTTCTGACTTCCARCACCTCTTCAGAAACTTTAACTTTTTTTCATCCAAAGGCAGAAAACCAAAAAGCCGGAGGGACACGGTGGTTTTTACAGTTCCCTCCAGCCGACAAACGTTGAGTTTTCACGTTGCTTCAGGTGTCGTTACATGTTCTGCTCTGAGTTCTGCTAGTAATACTGCTTTAATTTACCTACATATAGTGGWGGAAAAACTAGTACTCAGTGATTTTTTTTATTTCTTCCCAAAACAGCCAAACTTTCWGAAATCGGCTTCTTTTTCGCTCGTTCTTTACCTGCTTATTTTCCTCTCTGATGTCCTCCACCTTTAGTTTATTTGTTCTAAAACACGCTGAACGACCTGCCGCCGTGTTCAGGTGCTGGGCGAGAGAGAAAAGCTTTGAACTGTCGACCACGACCGTCAGCTGAAAGAGAGAAAATCYAATGGTTGAAGACTTTTGCACAGCATCATTTTTATTTTATTCTACTTCGATGCAGAAAACTGTTTGAGTTTGATCTGTGCCTTCGGACTGAGGAAGTGACTCTGGTGGTGTGAGTGTGTGAATGTGTGTGTGCGTGTGCGCCCTCTCTGCTCGTCGTTAAGATGAAGCTCGTGTCACTTCTCCTCTCTCTGTGCTCTTTAGTCCGGGGGTGGGGAGGGAGGGGGAGGAGCAAAGCCTCGTTTGACCTTCTCTCCTTCCTTTCTTCGCTCCTCCTCTCCCTCCATCTTCACCCTSGTTTCAGTCCAGCTGGCCTGGAGCCCAGCTGCAGCTTGCTGCAGGTCGGCTGAGGGACGTGTGTTTAAACTTTAAGGTTTGGACGTTGATTTGCTTCCGTTTGTGAGAAAAGAACTCGTCAGCGCTGCGCCGGAGGCTCCTCTCTGCGCCGCGACTGTTAGGAAACGAGTTGGCGACTCATTGTGAGAATATTTTTTTCTGTCGTTTTCCTGGCRCTTTATCTTATTCGCCTCTGCTCATCGTACCACCAACATAAAAGTGCTTTTTTAGGAACTAGTTTCAGCAGCGTATTAATACACGTATAGTGCAGTTAGGCTCTAAATAAATAGAAATTATATTAAGCAGTGTAAACAACTGGTTGATTCTGGTGTTTTTACTCCACTTGTTCATAAAAAAACAAAAACATCAGGTTTATTTCAGAACTAAATCCCTTCTAGTGCTTTTTTTTCCYTTCTGGAAGCTGAAAACGGTTCAACTGGTTGGAAAAAAAAATGGGTATGAATATGAATGTCAGCGCTTGTGCCATTGTTTTATTTCATCCTGATGTTTTCTGCGTTTTGTTCCTAATTTCCCTGTAATCAAAGCAGCCGAGTTGTAACAAATCACTGTTTGTTGTTTTCAGTGGCTTTAAGTCAGATGTGTATGTTTATTCAGTAAGTGCCTAAATTTATATTAAGTTTATATTTTGTAGTTTCATAAATCTAAAGATATAATATCCAGAGGGAAATGCTGTAATATCATTTTGTGCAGATTATTGTTTTTGTATAAATGTAGACTTTTTATGAAGCCCCACACTGACGCATCTATTAATCAGTTTATTAATAAATTGATTTGCTTCTCTGCTGCTGTTTCAGTCTCTAACCTACATTCAGATGTTTTGTTGACGTCAGAGTCGCWGGAACAGCTGTTTGACCGAGTCACGTGCAGAAACTCCCCTTCCTGCATCCACTGGATCCCACTGATGAACGAATGAATCCACGATAAGAAAACTTCCTCTGTCTTTATGAGGACGGAGTTTGCTTTTAATATTTGAAATTGTGTGTCTGAGTGGATTTGAAGGCCTGCGGTCAGAAAACAACAGGAAGATTCTGTTTGACCCAAAATAATCCAAAATCTGGGTTAAGCTTTATTTTAGGTCAGAACTTTCAGGACAAAATGAGTTCAGACCAGTGGCYGATCTAGGATTTTTCAGTATAAGGGGCAATCGGGGGGCCACAATATTCATAGAGGGGCCAAGTATTTGTTCAACATGCTTGCACACAAATCCCCAGTTTTTGTAAGGTTTATACATTTAATCAGTCACGTGTTCAAACATTTGTAAAAGCTTGCTCAGTAAATTCTCCTAATCAATTTTACATGATTTTTAACTGCGTATTTGTACAACATGCTCGCACACAAATCCCCAATTTTTATAAGGTTTATACGTTTAATCAGTCACATGTTCAAACATTTGTAAAAGCTTGCTCAGTAAATTCTCCTAATCAATTTTACATGATTTTTAACTGCATATAAATAAAATATTCTCAAACACACAGCATGTAAGAAAATCTAGCCATTGTTGTCAGTAAAAAAAACTTTTTTTTCTGCAGAATTGTTCAAATTGAAAAAGACCTGATTCATGTTGGACTTTTGTATTTGACTCATTGGCGCCACTYGTGGTTGGAAGTGGAACTGCAGTCACCATCATTGTTCTTGGGCAAGGACAGGGGCACTTCAGGGGCCCAATCAGATTTCAGATAGGGCCAATGCCCCTGTGGCCCCGCCCCTAGAACCGCCCCTGGTTCAGACGATCAAAGCAGGACAAGAACGGCTGAACGATCAGTGCTTTTTATTTCTCCATCACAGTACAAAAATAAATAAAAATAAGCAGAAACATGTTAAAAAAATTAAATTACAGTGAAAGGGAGGGGTTTTCTTTTAAAAAAAAAAACTTAACCAACACCAGCCTGGCGTTTGCTCCTCATCCCTAAAGGAAAACAACACATTCTTTGTTACAAATAAAATGTTGACTCATTTATTCACACTCAGTCAGTCACACACCTTCATGCAGCCCACTCATTGCTGCTCTTTTTTGATTTTTTGATTTTTTATGACCTGTTTTCTTTTATCTACAAATTACGCAACAGGATACAGAAAAGAACGGGACAGAAGTCCTTTAACTACGGCTTTAGTCTTTTTTTTTTTGACTGTTTTGTAAGCTTATAAACAAGTGTGATGATGGAGGTGAAACATGGCCCGTCTCACTGAGGCGGACTGAAACAGATTCCCTGCTTCCTGTTTGCATTTAGAGCTGGATGCAGGTTGTTCCCTTTGATTTCCATCAGAAAGGAAAACCCGTTCAGGATGTTTGTCGCTTTTCAAAGCAACAGCGYAGCTAAAACGCTGTAAATCTCCTCTCCTCTGCATGTTCTCCCTCTGCAGGCTGCAGCGGGTCGCTGATTGGCTGGAGGTCGCCTCGTTTCCTCCACATCCAAGAACTGGTGCTGATTGACTCAGAGGATGGGTCACCCTCAGGGTTCTCTGTGCTTTTCTCCTCATTTCAACCCTTTATTCATTTTATTTAAGTTCTGCTTTGCGTCTGATATGTGACCGGCTTCTAAATCAGAGCAAAAAAATCTGTTTTCAGGACATTTTTCTGAAGCGAGGTTGCCACATTGATGATGGTCAGATTTGATGGAGGTTTTGATCTTACGGGCCCTTTCATAATAAATGATGAATCCCTGCGACATTTATGAACAAAAACCAGATCAATCTTCATTCCCACCAAAGATAAGCACACCTTCTGCCCCCTTAAATTCATCTGAATGTGCCAAAAATAATGAATACTTAAATGGCGAGAAGCTAAAATGAGATAAAAATCCTCTAAAAACAGTTAAATATCTGAGTTTTCTCAGATCTGTGGGATTTTCATCAAAGATATGGCACCGTTATAACATTTTTCAATGCTGAATTATGAGCAAAAAATAATTAAATAAACAAAAACAGCATTCCAAACAAGAAAAAGAACTTCCCTGGTAAACAATGAGCCTATTTCAGCAAGCAGAGCTAAATGAAGCTATAGTGTCACTTTGTTCACGGCATTCTCTAATGCAGCTGATTTACAAATCAAGTAAAAAGTAGCCTCGGCTCCTGGAGAGTCTGTAAAACTGCATGGCACACGTGCAAAATGGTACATTTTTTTWAAAGAAATAAAWGTTTTAAAAAAGCAAAAYCAACTTGTTTGAGCAAATACAGCCCCGGCTCTGAGAGAATCAGAACATTGTGTGAAATGTAAATAAAACCGAAATCAGTGAAAGGCACATCTCATGAAACCCATRATTAATTTAAACGGAACATGGAGAACCTGTCAAATGTTTAAAAAAATGATACCTAGTTTGGAAAAGAACAAGGCGAGTGGTTTAACATTGTTAAAATATAAGGTCTTCCCTGAAAACTACGCTATGGTTCTCCAAATGTGCAAACTGCTCCATGCCAGAAGCACTAATGCACCCCCATAGCATCAGAGAGGCAGGGTATCACTTTGGACATGGCGGTTCAATCGATACAACTTACTTTATGCTTATTGCTCAATGCCAATGACTCAACAAAACCAGCAAAATGTCAAATGGCATCATATATTTATAATTGATAATTATAAATATATTCATTTAATTTAATTATTTATAACTATTAATTATTTAAACCGAAGTGTGACCAAACGTCTGCTTTTAAGGATGAATACTGCGAATACTGCTGGCCATTTCGCTTACTTATTGATCTCACCTGCAGCTTGTTGTTCCTGCTCTGAACAGGAATCCCACATCGTTATGCTGCCCCCTAAGGGCTGGGGGGTGTATCGATATTAAAAGAAAGATCATTTTAAAAAATATCAATAGATTTTTATGCACATAGTCCTGTTCCTGTTTAATACGTAGGTCATGGCGTTTGTAGTTTCTTTAAATAAATTGAATTTATTTGCCACAGTCTGTTTTAAACAYGCTTTGGTCCGGAGAAGACGGCAGCATTTCTGGGTGGTTTTTCACACATGGCTTCTATTTGCATGATAGAGRTTTAGCCTGCATTAGTGGCTGGCATGGTGATGTCCAGGACAGAGCCAGAGATCACGACTCAGCCTCGTCTCATGGTACTTATTTCTACTTATTTTGTATTTAAAAGTGAAATATAAAATCATAAAACACCAACCAAAGCTCCGACATAATGTTTGCCATGTTCCGTCGTGATGAAATCTGAGTTTATGAGATTTACAAATCACTGCGTTCTGTTTTTGTTTACATTCACACAACTTTTTCAGATCCCCTGTTGTAAATGAGCTTCAAAGACAAAAAAAAAAAGATCCATTTACATGTTTCAGTGTTTGTTTGTTTTTTCTAGATGAAAATAAAGTCTTTCTGAACACACATAATGTACATCCACTGGCTGTTTGTCTTTTTTTTAATTATTAATAATAATTTATCAAAAGTCCCACGAATGCAGCGTCCAGTCGTCCACAAAACCAAAAAAAAAAAAAGTCCCCGGCTCCGTCTCTGACGCCTCGAGCTGTTCTGTCCTCGGGTGGTCCGATCTGCATCAGCAAAAACCCCGATCCGTGTTGGAGGAAGGGACG